TAAAAGGCAAATCGGACGAAAATTTCATCTCAATCGGATAATAAATGCGACCTGCATTTTGTTCACAAGAATACATGGACAGACGGACGGACAGACGGACTGACATGCATAAATCAACTCAGAAAGTGATTCTATGCAGATCATCAAAAGGAACTATGGGTCTATCTCGTTTCCTTTTGCCTGTTACAAACAAATGCACAAAGACATAATACCCTGACCACCTTGTGGTGTAGGGTATAATTATCGTGTTTGCTTGGCCACCAGAACTCAAGCGCCAGCCATGGTGATGTTGTGGGCAGCCATAACAGCCGATGGTCGCTCTCCGGTCGTGTTAATCGACCGTGGCATCAGAATAAATCGCTAAATTATTCTGGAGGGTGTATTACAGCGTTGGGCACGCAAACATTTTGGCCGAAGACCTTGGACATTCCAGCCAGCACGCGCCACGCAAGAATGGGTGAGGTTCCTCGCTTCATTCCCAGCGCACAATTGCCAACAAAATCTCTGGATACCAATACGTTGGAGTATTGTGTCTGGATTATTTTGGCGACGGTTTCACTGGCCGTTTGAAGGCCATAATTCGTGCCAAGGGTAACCACGAACAAATCGAAACTTATTCTAAAATTTGATGCTATTTCCGAAAATTTTTCATTTCATTCAATAAAATTTTAAATTTAAAATTACGGTGTTTGACTTGGTTACAGTTTTTATATCTCACCCTATATATATATGTATATATATATATATATATATATATATATATATATATATATATATATATATATATATATATATATATATATATATATATATATATATATATATATATATATATATATATATGTATAGAAAATGAACCCAACATATATATATATATTAATTCTACGATGGCAGTAGAAACAACATCTCCGTCAGTTTTTTTTTTAATCATTGCAGATCAGGATATAGCTCCCAAATATAAGTTAATACGAACTCCCAATAAAACCATATATTTTTTAGCGGTACAATTGCTAAACATATACAGTGGTGTAGGTAGGGTTTTCCACACAGTTATGCGTTCGTGGTACATGAAATCCACAAATTCTTAAACGTCGTAAGATTTTCACTTATTTTTCCATTGTAATCTCGCTACATTAATAAAATAAATAAGAAATAAAATTTGGTTTCCCCTCATGTCAGAGTCACACCAAACGCCATTTTTTTAATTGTTTTATTTCATATATACGTGAAAATGTACTAATTATCATACCTACAGGTCAATATCGAAAATTTGTCTAATTCCCTTCCATTGGCTTTCCTTTTGTTTCTTCCAAAAATATTGAAATGTAAAATAGACCAAAGGCGCAAATGGTGGCACAAAACCACATAGTAGCCGATAATCCAAAATAGTGCATCGAAAGGGGAAATATGCGAAGTGATATAAATGCAAACAGGCTTAGGAGGGCCAGGCAAAACGAGGATGCAATAGATCGTATCTAAAAAGACATAACGAAAATTGTTAACATTGCCAGTGGCTCCGCACAAACTCTGATTCGTTGAGTTTAATTGCTCACCTTTGAGGGTAATATTTCAACCAACACAACAACTGTCACCGATAGAATTCCAACATTAGCTATAAATATTATGAACGCCATCAATACGAGTGGCAACCAGTGGCTGTAGAATGAAAGATCGGCTTCTGTTTCCTCGGCAAAGAAAGCGTAAATTCCGAAAGCAGCCAGACCAACACCCATGCCGGAAGTTGAGACCAGCAATAACACTTTGCGTCCAAATCGGTCCACCAGAATCGTAGCCGTATATGTCCCAATGACTTGTACCACGCCGACAATTATAGTATTTACATCAGGATGCAGCTCGGACTTAATTGCGGCGAATACGCTTGACATGTAATTGACCAATGCGAAAGAGCCGCAAAACATATTCAGCAGCATTAGCACAACACCCGAACATATGGCGAACATGGATCTTTTGTTAACTGAATAGGAAATCGGAGAAATTAATTACTAATTGGTAGAGTAGTTGACAAGACAATTCGGATACTTACGAAAATCGCTGCTGCTTATACTTGCATTTTGATTCTGCTGTTGCTCAATTAACATTTTCAGATCGTCAAACTGTCGTTGGGTTTCGGCTTTGACAGAGACTTTATTATTGCATGCGATATTTTTGTAAAATAAAAATGATTTGAGAGCTTCCGCACATCGACCTTTTCGCAAAAGAAATTGTGGTGTATCGGGAAAATAAATTGCGGCTACTAAATACAGACATGGCAACGGCAAAACCACCAATGGAATTATGTGATAGTGCACGTACGAAGACACAATGAAACCAAACAGTATGCCCAAATTCAAGGAGAGCGAGAATATTGAGGTAAGTCTTCCTCGGATTCTATATGGAAAATCATCAAATGTTATAATTATAAGAATGGGTCGCTGTGTTTAGTGGGAATGATTTTGGTGCAAAATAAATTTAACTTCATCCATAGCAGTGCAAACATAGTGCAAGAACTTACACCGCAACAGAAAGAAAATTGACTCCAAAGTGCTAAAGAGTTGTTTCGCTTGGCCGAAAGTGGTGAACTGCCGAATTCGGGTTTCTCCAATGGAACACATTTGTTGTCCAGCAGCTTGTAAACAAACAAAATTATCGTGTTTACTTGCCAAATTTCCAAAAAGGCCAGCTGAAAAAGTGCACCTTCGGTTGGACACCACAACTCAAGCGCCGGCCATGATGATGGTGTGGGCCGCCATAACAGCCGATGTTCGCTGTCGTATTAATCGACTGTGGCATCAGAATAAATGCGGAATATTATCGCGAAAATATTCTGGAGGGTGTATTAAAGCCTTGTGCACGCAAATATTTTGGCCGCAGACCTTGGACATTCCAACAAGACTCAGCACGCGCCACCCAAGAATGGTTACAAATTGAGGTTCCTCGCTTCATTTCTAGCGCACAATGGCCACCAAAATCTCCGGATAGCAATCCGCTGGACTATTGTGTCTAGAGTATTTTGAAAAGCAAGGTTGGCACTAAAAAATACCAAAGTGTCAATCACCTCAAGCAAGCGCTACCGCAGATTAACATTCGGGCAGCGTGTGACGGTTTCATTGGCCGTTTGAAGGCCATAATTCGTGCCAAAGGTGACCAACCGAACAACAACAAAAAATGTAAAAATTATGGTGTCTGGCTTTGTTGCAGTTCTTTTATCTCACCCTGCATATATTATCGATCAGCGTAAAATTCTAAGACGAAGACCGTCTGGCAGGCTTTCCGTCCCTTGTAATCACGTTCAAGTCAAAACGAATTGAGATAAGAAGCTGCAAAGCCAATGCACAGATCGGTGTTTTGTCGGTATAGCTCCCATGTAACGTATAGCTCCCATGTAACGGTACCTTTCGATATTCGGCATTTTAATGACTGTAGCCAAATTTTTCAATGGAATTGTCTGAAAATCTACACCTTCTGAGTACCTTACCCCCCTGGAAGAGAATTGTTTATATAGGTCCACGATATCGAATAGCGCCCATAGCAAGGTACCCTTCGATATTCGCTGTTTGGATGATTATAGCGACATTTTTACCGGAATTGTTTCAAATTTCGTATTTAAAGTTCGTAATGGGTATTACAGTTTATGACAAAAAATTGCGTATGCAGGTTCACGTCGTTGTATGGCCCCCATATAGCGATACATCCCGATATTCGGAATTGTTTCGAATTTCGTATTTGAAATTACTACAACCTATGTCAAAAAATTGCGTATGCAGGTTCACGTCTTCGTATAGCACCCATATAAATGCATCTCCCTTCTTGTTTTTTGTTCTTGTTTTTTTTCAGCTTTCTTTTTCAAACAACAATTATTCATTTGTGAAAACTATACAATATGGCTTTACGTAGGAGTAGGACAAGGGTTCCAATACATCTCATAAACTCCTCCGGCATATTTTTCAGGTATTGTGTTATTTACTTTGAGCCTCAATTGCAGAAACAATCATAACTCCCGGCATTGTGTGAAAATTAACAAAATGAACTTTGTACTATACTTTATGTATATGCGTATTTTCATTTTAATGTGTGGCTATATACGATTTTCTAGCTACTCCTTGAAATTGAGCATTTTAGGAATATTTGCTCTGCATTTGATTCTTATTATTATACTATCATCATCAACATCATAGTTTATACTTACAATGGATCCGCAATCTCACTAATAAATATTGGTATGACTATAAACACTCCTCCGCCCGTTAAGCCACCACATATTCGTGCCGCATACAGGTATTCGACAGATTCGGCAAAGTACAAAAGCATCCACAGGCACTTAAAATTTCCGATTTAGAACATATGCAAGTAATGTAAATGGGTTATACATACCATATGAGGAATTGCTAATCCATATATAGCTGCTTTACGTCCCCAACGGTCGAATATCAAAAGAAAAGTGATATTTCCTATTACTCCGCCCACACTTATTAATGCTCCAATCCATGATGACTCATCTACGTTGACGGTGAAATCAATCGGAGTATCAGTAGGCGATTGTAATTTGGGCAACATGGGCGACAGCCAGCCCAGTCCAATTCCATGAGCTAGTGAAATCATGGTTACTACTCGAAAATAAAAACTCAACATAACTTCGTCATATGCACACCCTGTATTCTCTACAAACCGCTCAAGGATGCCAACAACTGACGCCTATATTCCTCTTTGAAAATCCCGCTGTTGATGAACATTTTCATTTCATTTATTCCTTGAATACGATTCTATTCAAATTCGTGTTTTTTAGTATTTTTTTTTATTATATTTATATGCGGTGAAAATAGTTAACAGAATACAATTCGAAACAATATTTTTGCCGTTGACATCGCCGGAGATTCGAGATCGCGAACGTGCTTCATCACCTTTCCATTGAAATAAGTGACGGATTTCTATGGGAAATTCACAAAGAGCTTTATTTTGTTATCACGCCTAAATTTTTATTAGCCCGCGTTATCTGCAGATCTTCTTCAGATTTATATGTGGTGATTTTATGGGTGGTACATTCGTACATACATGCATACATTCGTAGTTATACGTACGTGCGGAGGCAGTATAAAGACACGAAAATATCTAGCATGCAGATTAAGTAAATTTATACATCATTCATAAACTCATCAAAACGTCCGACAATGTTGGTACTGCCACATTAGTGAGGAAAGGCAAATAGAAAATAGTAAACATCAAGTAAAGGTTCACATCAGTCAGAACTGACATTTAGAAGATGAAAGCTAGACTGGCATCGATGACCTGTGTGGGTGTTGATAGGACTTATTTATAACTGATTTTGATGTCATCGAAAAAATAATAATACCTCCTCAATTATTTGGAAACACTGGAAATGGATATAACTCTAAGATATATGTGATATTTGTTCCTGCTAATTTGAAACAAGGCCTTCCTACTTTACCGTTAAGATTCATACAAAAAGCGACACTTCAGTTTTTAATACATTCATATTTTGCTGGCTCTTGTACGAACTATTTTCTCTTCGTTACTTTCGTTTCAAGTTTTTGTAACAAAAAATTACGAACGGAAACGTCAGAAAAGAACGATACACATAGACAAATGAAAATATAGACAACGAAATACTCTCACCGTTCATCTTCGAAAAAAATCGGATCAGCAGATGTCGTCTATATCGTTTCAGGGGTTTGAGTGGGAATTTTGAAGTCACTCAATTCTAAAACGTTAAAAATAACAAAAACTGTAGGATATTTGTCAGTTGAAAATTGTTCCATAATAAAAGACAAGTGAAAACTATGTAGTGACATCGAAAAATATGAGAATATTCCAGTGAAATTCTTGAAAAACTATAAAATGTGTTTTCGAAGTCGAGTGGCTTAAACGCGTAAATCAGCATGTTGACTATGCAAAACATGATAAGAGCCACCTGGATAAAAAGACAAAACTAACTTTTCGTTGTCTATATCTTCATTTGTCTATGGTCTATATTTTCATTTGTCTATGCCGGTCGTACGAAGTTGTGTGTGTGTGTGTGGTTGTACAAAAAATCAAAATTTTTTGATATTTAACATGTTGTACCAACTGATTGTAATGTTTGTTGGCATGTCGCAATCCAATCAAATGTTTGATTTCAATGAAAATATAAAAAAAAATATAAATAAAAAAATATATAAAATGGAATTTCAAAAATTATAATAAATAAAGGCTATTAAGTAAATTATAGAGCACGGAATTATTTCCGGTGTCATCTTAACTCAAATGAACTCTTCGAAAAGTGAAGTTGTACAAAGAGCAAAGACATAGAAGTGTAAAGATAGGACAAGACAGAGTCAAAATATGGTAACCCTGTGGAAATACCTCTGTTCTTACGATATCATAACAACATAGTTACCAATGTTAACTGATTTAAACCGATAAGGCAATATGCAAATTTTCGGAAAGAATAGAATTTTGAAACCAAAATTTTGGATTTTTCAAATTTTTATTTGTTATCCGTTTCTGTAATTGTGGATTTTATATTAATATGTCTTTGCCATGAGCTGTTAATCTATGTATTGTAGACACAAACCATTTGCTCAAAATTCATTTTCTCTAGTCTTTACCATTTTAGGTCTTTGCAAAGAGGTTGTATACAAATTTGTATTGTTTGTGGCCGAAGCATACAACTTGACAACCCTCCAGGTTGTACCAACGGATGCGGCCGTGTGGCTTGAATTATTATGTGAAATTTACCTACAATTACACTGTGCGACAAAAATCAATTTTTTTTCAATTTTGCCATTAAATCTTGTTTTTTTTTTTTAATTTTCAGGAACACCTTGTTACTGCGCCATGACTTGTATAACGTCTAAAAGCAAATTTATGCGTAGCTGCTGTTAGGTTTGTTGGACAACATCACTTGCTGTTGTCGGTATTCTTCTACCATGCATGGGCCCCAAGATAAAATAATACAGGTAGCCGCATCACAACATCAATAAACTGTCAAAACATTTTTGGAATTCAAATTGTTTAATGAAAACTCCCATTTCTTAACAGCCTCTAAACGGCATCGGTTTAAAAAGTATGTAAAAATCAGATTATTTTTGCGGATTTTTTTTAACATTTTTGACATATCAATGTTCATAAGTGGTAATGCATCTGCCTGTATTTGTGTACCATACATGAACAAGCAAAATATTTATAGTACGTATGTCTGGTTTCATTTATAGTAAGATTTGATCTTCTTGCGAGAGAGTATCTTCACACAATAAACATAAGTATACAGTAAAGGTGAGAGCACATAAAACGCCTTTTTGGCAGGCTTAAGGTGGGAATACATAAAGCGCTTATCTGGCTGGCTTATGTCATCGGCTGGCTTCTTTGGAAATGAACAAAGGAGCCTAGGGCCAAAATCGAACTAAGTGAACCTAAAACTCCTTTGTTCATCTACGAAGAGGTCAGCCGATGACTTAAGCCAGTCAAATATGCGCTTTATGAATTTCCACCCTTAAGTCATCGGCTGGCTTCTTTGTAAAATAAATAAGGAGCGTAGGGTTATATACAAATTTTGGGGCGAAATTGAACTAATACAACTTAAAACAAAGGTTTTTAAGTTGTATTAGTTCAATTTCGCTCTGACGAGTGACGAGATCGTAAGCTCAATAGAAGAGGAACCAAAGAATTAAATAAAACATTACCATCGTTCTCCACTAATAAACAAACGTTGTTTTTATAAAAACAACAATAAAGGGATAAGCCTGACCATTTTGCAACAACAAAATACTACGGTATCCCGAACAAACAAGCCACACTGTTCTATTTGGTCGACGAAGGGGTTTTTGTTGTAACAGACAAAACCAACTTACATGGTTATGCTACTTCGTTCAGGTTGAACGAAAGCATAACAAGTGGAGAAAGATGTAAATGTTTATAAGTGCGGTTGTAAGATTTAGAAGACTTTCCAAAAGAATTTTAGTTCTATTTAATTCTTTGGTTCCTCTTCTATTGAGCTTACGATCTCGTCACTTGGGTAAAAAATGTTTTTTGTCATAGAAGTTATTTTTTAAAATAACTTCTGGGGAGAATATCCCAGACAAAAAACAAGGGAACTGATGAGGATTGGTGGCTCTTTCCGAAACCTAGGTATTCCCTGCCTTACCCCCTGGTAAACATTACCATCGTTCTCCACTAATAAACAAACGTTGTTTTTATAAAAACAACAATAAAGGGATAAGCCTGACCATTTTGCAACAACAAAATACTACGGTATCCCGAACAAACAAGCCACACTGTTCTATTTGTAGACAAGGCACGGTCGACGAAGGGGTTTTTGTTGTAACAGACAAAACCAACTTACATGGTTATGCTACTTCGTTCAGGTTGAACGAAAGCATAACAAGTGGAGAAAAATGTAAATGTTTATAAGTGCGGTTGTAAGATTTAGAAGACTTTCCAAAACCCCCTGGTAAACATTACCATCGTTCTCCACTAATAAACAAACGTTGTTTTTATAAAAACAGCAATAAAGGGATAAGCCTGACCATTTTGCAACAACAAAATACTACGGTATCCCGAACAAACAAGCCACACGGTTCTTTTTATACCCTTCACCATACGAATTATCAATTTTGAACCAAACAAAGTATATATATTTTTTTTTTTTTGATCAGCGTAAAATTCTAAGACGATGTTGCCTTGTCCGTTCGTCCATCCGTCTGTTGTAATCACGCTAGAGTCAAAACGAGTTAAGATAGGAATTTTGTCTGCATTTGAATTTCATATTTGAGACTCGTAATGGGTACTTTAACTTTGTGGGAAAATTGTCTATGTACAGAGTGAGATAAAACAAGTTAAAAAGCAGTAAGTTTGGCCGGGCCGAACTTTGAATACCCTCCACCATTTGGAACGAATTAGAAAATTTTCAAAAAATAAAATCCATTAAAAATTCAGTTAAAATCTTTAAAATATCGGAAGGTGCCGATATATGGGAACCTTTATAGACAATTACCTATCAGGGGTTAAAGTGCTCACAAAGAACTCCTTGTGTGGATTTTCAGAAAATACCATAGGAAAATATGGCTAAAATCATCAAAATACCGAATATCGGGGATACCGTTATATGGGGGATATGCGATATCGTTAACCTGTATAGAGAATTCTCTTTCAGGGGGTAAACTACTCACAAAGAACCTCTTGTGTACAATTTCAGACAATTCCGTTGAAAAATTTAACTAAAATCATCAAAATACCGCATATCGGGGATACCGTTATATGGGGAGCTAACGATATCTTGGACCTATATAGATAATTCTCTTCCAAAGTATAAAGTACCCACAAGGTACTGCTTGTGTGATACAGATATAGTCGATATCGTCGACCTATATAGATAACTCTCTTCCAAGAAATAAAGTACTCACAATGAACTCCTCGTGTGGAATTTCAGATAATTCCGTTGAAAAATGTGGCTGAAATCATCAAAATACCGAATATCGGAGGGTACCGTTATATGGGGGCTATACGATATCTTGGATCTATATAGATAATTCTCTTCCGAGGTATAAAGTACCCACAAGGTATTCCTTGTGTGGATTTTCAGACAATTCCGTTGAAAAATGTGGCAAAAATCATCAAAATACCGAATATCGGGGGGTACCGTTATATGGGGGCTATACGATATTGTGGACCTATATAGACAATTCTCTTTCAAGGTATAAAGTACCTACAAGGAACTCCTTGTGTGGATTATCAGACAACTCCGTTCAAAAATGTGGCTAAAATCTTCAAAATACCGAATATCGGAGAGTACCGTTATATGGGGGCTATACGATATGGTCGACCTATATAGATAATCCTCTTCCGAAGTATAAAGTACTCATAACGAACTTCTTGTGTGGATTTTCAGAGAATTCCATGGAAAAATGTGGCTAACATCATCAAAATACCGAATATCGGGGGTACCGTTATATGGGGGCTGTACGATATCGTGGACCGATATACCCCATCTTCGAACTTGACCTGCCTGCAGACAAAAGAGAGATCTGTGCAAAATTTTAGCTTCCTATCTTAATTCGTGTAGACTGTAGCGTGATTACAACAGACGGACAGACGGACAGACGGACGGACATGGCTAAATCGTCTTAGAATTTTACGCTGATCAAGAATATATATACTGTGTTGGGTCTAAAATGTTTATTTCGATGAGTTACAAACGGAATGACGAACTTAATATACCCTCCATACTTTTTTTGGTGGAGGGTATAAAAAACTGCAACAAAGTCAAACGCCATAATTTTTACATTTTGATACCCTCTACCAAAAAAGTATGGAGGGTATATTAAGTTCGTCATTCAGTTTGTAACTCATCGAAATAATCATTTTAGACCCAACAAAGTGTATATATTCTTGATCAGCGCAAAATTCTAAGACGATTTAGCCCTGTCCGTCCGTCTGTCCATCTGTTGTAATCACGCTACAGTCTAAACAAATTAAGATAGGAAGCTAAAATTTTGCACAAATCTCTCTTTTGTCTGCAGGCAGGTCAAGTTCGAAGATGGGCTATACGGTCCACGATATCGTATATCCCCCATATAACGGTACCCCCCGATATTCGGTATTTTGATGATTTTACCCACATTTTTCAACGGAATTGTCTGAAAATCCACACAAGGAGTTCCTTGTGGGTACTTTATACCTCGGCAGAGAATTATCTACATAGGTCCACGATATCATATAGCCCTCATATAACGGTACCCCCGATATTTGGTATTTTGATGATTTTATCCACATTTTTCAATGGAATTGTCTGAAATTCCACAAAAGGAGTCCCTTGTGGGCATTTTACCCCCTCAAAAAGAATTGTCTATATAGGTCCACGATATCGTATATCCCCCATAGAACGGTACCCCCGATATTCGGTATTTTGATGTTTTTAGCCATATTTTTCCTGGAATTATCTGAAAAACCACACAAGGAGTTCCTTGTAAGTACTTTACACGCAGACATAGATTTGTCTTTATAGGTCCACAATATCGAATTTCCCCCATATATCGGCACCTTCCTATATTAGATATTTTAAAGATTTCAAAAGAATTTTTAATGGATTTTATTTTTTTGAAAATGTTCTAATTCGTTCCAAATGGTGGAGGGTATTCAAAGTTCGGCCCGGCCGAACTTACTGCTTTTTTACTTGTTTTTCTTAAATTTTATTGAATGAAAGCAAAAAATGTCGGAAATATCATAAGATTAGAGTTGTTCGATTGATCACCTTTGGCACGAAGTAAACGACCAATGAAACCGTCACACGCTGCCCGAATGTTGCTCTGCGGTATTTTGACCCATTCCCGGCGAAGCACTTGCTTGAGGCGATCGACACTTTGGTATTTTTTAGTGCCAACCTTGCTTTCCGGAGATTTTGGTGGCTATTGTGCGCTGGAAATGAATCGAGGAACCTCATTTTTGTAGCCATTCTTGGGTGGCGCGTGCTTAGTGCCATAGTACTGAGTCTCGTTGGAATGTCCAAGGTCTGCTGCCAAAATGTTTGCGTGCCCAAGGCTTTAATACACCCTCCAGAATATTCTCGCTATAATATTCGGCATTTATTCTCATGCCACGGTCGATTAGTACGAACGGAGAGCGACCATCGGCTGTTGTAGCGGCCCACACCATCACCATGGCCGGCGCTTGAGTTCTGGTGGCCAACCGAAGGTGCACATTTTCAACTGACCTCTTTGGCAAGTAAACATGATCATTTTATTTGTTTACAAACTGCTGGACAACGAATGTTTTCTCATCGGAGAAAACTAAATTCGACACTTCACCACTTTCGGCCAAGCGAAGCAACTCTTTAGCTCTTTTGAGTCTATTTTCTTTCTGTTGCGGTAAGTTCTTGCACTTTTTGGAATTTAAGTGGCTTTACCCCGAGCTCATTTTTCAATTTTTGCCGAATGGAATATTGCAATATGTCCAGCTCACGAGTCATTTTCCGGCCAAGTCGCTTCTTTACTTTTCGAACCATTTCTGCTGATGTTACTGTTTTCTTCCGTCCACTTCCTTGACGTCGGGCTACGCTACCAGTATCACGGTAAAGAGCGATGGAACGAGACACAAAAGATTTATTCACATTTAAATGCGAGTGGAGTGCTCTAACGATAGCCACTTGTGGTTTTCCAGCCAAATATAAAGAAATCACACTATCACGCTTGAATTCCATCACGAATAATTTTTTTTTCGGAAAATTCACACCAAAATGCTTTTGTACGCTCTCAGGTTGGTTTCAGTTTTTTCATCGCACCCTGTAGATATATATTTATACTATATGACATTATCGAGAAGTGTATACTGGAAGTTTTCCTTTATATTCTCTCATAGCTGACCGCCACGGCCACGGCCTGGTAACAACGCATAAGTATAGTGTACTTAATATAAAGGACTACGCTACTTAAACTAAGACCATGTACAATCAATCTGCTTCTTCACACACTACGAGGCGAGCAACACTGGGTCCCGTCTTTTGAATCATATGTCTTCCACAATCGCATGTTACATGCTTCTTTTATTCCGATCACATATCGGTCATTTGGCAATGTTTTACGCGCTGTATAAGGCCTTTTGAATTTCCGTATCTTGTCGTTGTGTCCTACATCCCTTCACTGTCATTGTACATTGTTCATTTCATTGTATTTTTTTGCAATGGCATCCTCCGCTTTTTCTCTATTCTCCTTAACGTTTATTCACATACTTATTGTAAGATTTTCGTTCAGTCCATGATAAAATTAAAAGGGTGAAGTCATTTCAAATAAGCATATCCATCCCTGCATTTTGTGTAATTTACCTTGTCAAATTTCACTGAATAAAAACCAGGTTCCCGTCTCTGATTCCTGTGTATACAGTGGATTTATAAATAAACAATTTGAAAATGAGATATTGAATAATTAAAAAAAAAAATAAAAATACGACTTAACTCCTTAAGTCTACCATGGTTCCGTACTTTTTGTTACAAAAACGGTAAATATAAAGAGCTAACAAAATGTCACTTCTGACCTGACTTTGACAAGGAACTTAAAAGTTTTTATTTGCTCTGTTCCAGAACCTGCAAGAATCTACTAGTTTTGCAACCTGCGTTAATATCATTGTACAAAATACTTTATACATACTTTTGAGTGCGGTTGAGGCGCTGGGAAATTCTAACAATTAAAAAATAAGATTCCAAAATATCAGTTTCCCAGCTGCGATAAAATATCACATGTGTAGAATTCAGTGATCTTGTGCGCTGTCGCATATGATAATTTGTAAAATAATAAAGAACATGACCCACACACACATATATCGATGCGCCTGTAGGTAGCCAAGACTACTTGAATGAAGGGACAAGCAACCATGTAATAAAAATAGATAAGAACAATTGTGTGGCTGCGACTAGGTTATGTTAGATTAGTTTCAGTAGTACGCAAGGAACATATTTTAAAAATAAAATCAGAATTGAATCTACACCCAAGCGAAGCGATCGTGTTCTTTTCTCGCCCTTACAATCATGGCACAATGAAATAAAGGTAACCTCATTTCAAATTAGCATTCCCAGCTCTGCATTTTTTTGTAATTTACCTTGTCAATTTTCAATGCATAAAAAACAGGTCCCATCTCTGATTTTGTGTGGATACAATGGATTTATGAATTGAATTATGAAAAATTGTAAACATATGATTACATGACTTTTCCTTCTTAGTTTTACCATGGCTAATATCAAAAGGGAAAATCGGTTATTGTAGTAAAAACATTTACATTGTTGCAGTTCTGGAACAGACCAATTATTGTTATTCACTATCTTTGACAATCATTTATTTTAACATCAAACTTGGTAGGACTTGGCATTTGCTACAAAAAAACGGAACAAGTTCTCATTCGTAAAATTTGCGAATGAAAGTGAAACAACCGAATATCGGGGGGGTACCGTTATATGGGGGCTATACGAAGACGTGGACCTGCATAGACAACTTTCTGTAATAGGCTGTAGTATCCCTTAGGGACTTCAAATATCAAATTTGAATTTCAGTGAATAATGTCGCTAAAATCATCAAAATACCGAATATCAGGAGGTACCGTTATATGGGGGCTATATGAAAACGTGGACCTACATGACCCATTTACGAACTTATCCTGTCTACTGGAAAAATAAACATGTCTGCAAAGTTTTAGCCTTCCATCTTGATTCGTTCGAAAGATAGCGTGATTACAACAGATAGACGGACAGACAGACAGTCGGACATCGCTAAATCGACATAGAATTTTACGCTGATCAAAATATATATACTTTTTTGGGTCTGACATGAGTATTTCGAGGAGCTACAAACGGAATGACTAAATGAATATACCCTCCATAGTATGGTGGAGGGTATAAAAATACTACAAACAGCCATTAAATGAAGCCACTCTAATAATGAGTTTCATAATTTTTGTCAATATACAAATAGAACAAACATTCGGTTCACTTCAAACGTCTTTATTTTCGCCGAAATTGCATAATTTTTGGTCAACTACATTTCTTGAGCGTCATTTAATATCCCTGGGACTGAGTGCGCTGAAATGGCAACGGTTAAATTTCGCCAATTAATTGACATGGCAATTGGATCGCCAGAACCGGGACATGTGAATTTCTATGCTCTACATTGCCTTCTGAATTGCATTGCGGAAAAGCTGAATATTCTCGATGACCCCATTGAATATTCAAAATATGAATCTTTGATTATGTGCTCTGCATCTGCCAAAGTATTCAATCGTAAGGATTAAAGCATTGAGATTAACATCTGATAGGTAATTAAAGTTTTGTAAATATTTCAGAAGATATAAAGAATTGTTTTAATTGTGGCGTAAGAACAGAAGGAGGATCCGACCGAGAGAGTCAAAACAATGAAGAATTAAAAGGATCGGCAACGGAAGTCACTCCTGGGCCCATTACGACGCCTGTTGAAAACGAGAAACCACAGGAAGTCGCTCCCGGGCCCATTGCAACGACTGTTGAAAACGAGGAACCACAACTTCATGAAATTGTTGCCGAGGTTGTTGCCATTTCTCCTCTTCCAGAAGAAATTGAAGAAGTTGTCCGTAATTCTGGGACAACAAAGAAAAATAACAATCCTACACCATCTGTTATATCTGATGAAAATATGAAAGGACCCTCCTCTGAAAGAAAACAATCCAATGATTATTCTTCTAATTATCGCACATCCAAGATAGAGGGACTTGAAAGTAAAGTTGCGGAATTCGAGGATCTATTCGTTGGTGTGACAATCATGAAGGACCAATTGATGTTGGCTATCGAACAACTACTTCTTTTGACATTTCTAACCCTTAGCAAAAAACCAGATGAACATAGAATACATCAACTTTTAGACATAACGAAGGCACTTCGCGTCGCACGCACCGAGAATATCAACATCAAAAGTTCTCATCGTTTTGACATACCCGAAATACATTCGTTAGAATGGCATTTGTCCGATTTAGAACTGGGGGAAGGTGTAACAGAGCAGGATATTTTGGAGGCACAGTCATCGTGCACAAGAGCCACTGAACCAAACACTGGAGAGAAACAATTCAGTCAACACGATCTAGACGGATGTCTTTGTTACTCGCCCGGAAAAATGCTTGACCAGTTATTGGAACTAAAGGGCGATTTCTGCACACTCACTAATAAAGTAAACGAGATCACGGCAAGGCTGGTCAAGCAGGAACGCCAACAAGCCATGATACTTATTGAAGAGCTCCAGGAGCAAATGCGCGATGTCAGATTCAATGTAAACAATTTAACGGAACGACTCGAACGATCAGACATCCGTTTGACGAACAACACTCTAAACCTGGAGAACGTCAAGAGGAGTATTGACTCACTCGTCAGCGAAAAAGTGAGCAAGGCCGAGGTAGATATAATGTTTGCCGATAAGGTTGACTACGACCAACTGCAGAGAAAAGTATCACTTGATCAACTGCTTGAAGTGCAGTGCCGCATAGATAAACGTTTCTGCGAAGCTTTCAAACAGATCAAGGACGCGGACAAAAGACTCGAAGAGACTGCTGAAACTTTGCGCCAAACTCTGGGATTTGCATCCATTGACCGTATACTGCAAGAATTCAAGCAGAAAGTCGAATTAGAAATTCAATCAATACGCGTCTTGTTGCAAAAGTATGTGGATGCAACGAACGACGATTGTGCTGCAGCGGGAGCTCGTATCAAAGTCCTACAGGACCTGGCTTGTTTGTCGTGCGATACCACTTGTGTTATGCGCACCATGGAGAAAACTAATGTGGCCAAACTACCCAGTGCACATGTCTCTCAAAGTTTAAGTCCTCTTATCACATACGAGTTGGGCGCCATTCGCAAAAACGGAGGTCTTCCGCAGACACGACATGCCGGCGGTGTTCATACAACCAGTACAGCACGGGAACGGGTCGACAAGGTTTTGCTCAGTGGAAAATAACACCAACTATGGTTTAACATTTAAATTATGTCCATTTCATTTTATTTGTTTATCGGTATTTACTGTTGAAAAATAAATAATTCGACACGGCATTTGAAAATGGAATTAACATTGTTGCGTATGTTGAGTTAAGATGTTTGTGTTAGTTTGTATAAATGATTACATTTTTCATCGTTATAAAATGTTGGCTTGCAGGATATATATAAGTAAGCAAAAATTAAGTGCTACACACTGGTAAGAGCCTTCTCACGTTTTTAGTATGTGTATGTGTGTATGTTCCTTATTGACTCGCAAACGACTGAACGAATTTCGTGGAATTTTCACAGAACATTAAGGAATTTATTGTAGCTATTATTTTATAAAAATTAGAAGAGGCGAGGTATCTCCCACTCGACTTCTTTTTTTTTAAACAAGAATTTGTTCACGATATTGGACGTATAAACCCCAAAATAACGGTAACTCCCTATATACGGTAATTTTAAGATTTTAACAGAATTTATAATGAATTCAATTTTTTATTAATTTACTAGCTGGCCGGTCCGCGTTGCCGGCCCGTACTTTTAGTCTTTAACGTATATTTTTTAAAGCATAATAAATCACAGGGCTGAGTTATGTAAGTGGCACAATTTTTATTATAAGTAATGATTCCATAGTTATTTCTAAAAAGAAATAAATATTCATGGCAAAAATTATAATAGATGTTCATCCACCGTTGGTTTTAGGTATTTTGAATAGCCTGATCTTATTTTTCAGCTATAGGCTTTACTTTGAGTTTCAACAACCTGATTTCAGAATAGTCAAAGATAATTACTCTTTCCGTAAGAATAGAATTAATGTTTTTATATTTTTGTTTGTTCATATGTGTTCGCGTTTTCCAGCTGAAGCACAATGTAGGTCATGGAATTGAAAGCTAAATGTCAATTTAAGCATGAAAGCATTTAATATCGTATTGCGTACCATCCAAAATTGTATGAACTCTTAAAATCCGTTAAGCCGTTCTTGAGTTATAAGCGTAGTAACTGACATACTTTCTTTTATATGGCGAAAATAATTCTTTATTTTGTTCACAAAAAAACGATTGTATTCAATATGACCAGCTAAATTAAAAAAAAACTTACATTATATAAAATTGACTAAAAAAGAGAAGCAAATTGAAAAAAAAAAATCTTCAACTTATTCGCTGATTTTTTACAGCAAATGTTTAGAGGTCCTTACGAAGTTTGTCAATAGAATGTACTATTATTTTAAAATTCGATCCCATTAACATTTTTTTTTTACTTTTTCCCGATTTTAGAATTTTTGCAATGAGATCGTGATTTTTTAGTGATTTTAAAAAAAGTAATTAAAATATAGCATTTTTTGTTCATAGCTTATTATCTTCTGAAATGATATTATTCGTATAATTCCACTTACCAAAAAAATACATAAAATCTACAAATAACATTCTTGTCCGTTGTCGCTTTATACTCCCCAAAAAGACTACATATCATATTAGTATTAAAAAGTAAAAAAGCAGTAAGTTCGGCCGAACTTCGAATATCCTCCACCATTTGGAACGAATTAGAAAATATTAAAAAAAAAATAAATAAAATCCATTGAAAATTCTGTTATAATCTTTAAAATACCTAATATCGGAAGGTGCCGATATATGGGGGGATATACGCTATTGTGGACCTATATAGACAAATCTAGGTTTGGGGGTAAAGTACTCACAAGGAACTCCTTGTGTGGATTTTCAGATAATTCCATTGGGAAATGTGGCTAAAATCATCAAAATCCCGGATATCGGGGTACCTTTATATGGGGGATATACGATATTGTGGACCTATATAGACAAATACCTTTCAGGGGTTAAAGTGCTCACAAAGAAATCCTTGTGTGGATTTTCAGAAAATACCATTGGAATATATAGCTAAAATCATCAAAATACCGAAAAACGGGGGTACCGTTATATGGGGACTATACGATATCGTTAACCTATATAGAGAACTCTATGTCAGGGGGTAAAGTGCTCACAAAGAACCCCTTGTGTGGAATTTCAGACAATTCCGTTGAAAAATGTGGGTAAAATCATCAAAATACCGAATATAGGGGAGTACCGTTATGTGGGGGCTATACGATATCGTTAACCTATATGGAGAACTCTATGTCAGGGGGTAAAGTGCTCACAAAGAACCCCTTGTGTGGAATTTCAGACAATTCCGTTGAAAAATGTGGGTAAAATCATCAAAATACCGAATATAGGGGAGTACCGTTATGTGGGAGATATACGATATTGTGGACTTATATGGACAAATCCGTTTCAGGGGTAAAGTGCTCACAAAGAACTCCTTGTGTGGATTTTCAGACAATTCCGTTGAAATATGTGGCTGAAATCATCAAAATACCGAATATCGGAGGGTACCGTTATATGGGGGCTATACGATATCTTGGACCTATATAGATAATTCTCTTCCAAAGTATAAAGTACCCACAAGGTATTCCTTGTGTGGATTTTCAGACAATTCCGTTTAAAATGTGGCAAAAATCATCAAAATACCGAATATCAGGGGGGTACCGTTATATGGGGGCTATACGATATTGTGGACCTATATAGACAATTCTCTTTCAAGGGATAAAGTACCCACAAGGAACTCCTTGTGTGGATTTTCAGACAATTCCGTTGAAAAGTATGGGTAAAATCATCAAAATACCGAATATCGGGGGGTACTGTTATATAGGGGCTATACGATATTGTCGACCTATATAGATAACTCTCTTCCAAGAAATAAAGTACTCACAATGAACTCCTCGTGTGGAATTTCAGATAATTCCGTTGAAAAATGTGGCTAAAATCATCAAAATACCGAATATCGGAGGGTACCGTTATATGGGGGCTATACGATATCTTGGACCTATATAGATAATTCTCTTCGGAGGTATAAAGTACCCACAAGGTATTCCTTGTGTGGATTTTCAGACAATTCCGTTTAAAATGTGGCAAAAATCATCAAAATACCGAATATCAGGGGGTTCCGTTATATGGGGGCTATACGATATTGTGGACCTATATAGACAATTCTCTTTCAAGGGATAAAGTACCCACAAGGAACTCCTTGTGTGGATTATCAGACAACTCCGTTCAAAAATGTGGCTAAAATCTTCAAAATACCGAATATCGGAGAGTACCGTTATATGGGGGCTATATGATATCGTCGACCTATATAGATAATCCTCTTCCGAAGTATAAAGTACTCATAACGAACTTCTTGTGTGGATTTTCAGACAATTCCGTGGAATGACTAAATGAATATACCCTCCATAGTATGGTGGAGGGTATAAAAATACTACAAACAGCCATTAAATGAAGCCACTCTAATAATGAGTTTCATAATTTTTGTCAATATACAAATAGAACAAACATTCGGTTCACTTCAAACGTCTTTATTTTCGCCGAAATTGCATAATTTTTGGTCAACTACATTTCTTGAGCGTCATTTAATATCCCTGGGACTGAGTGCGCTGAAATGGCAACGGTTAAATTTCGCCAATTAATTGACATGGCAATTGGATCGCCAGAACCGGGACATGTGAATTTCTATGCTCTACATTGCCTTCTGAATTGCATTGCGGAAAAGCTGAATATTCTCGATGACCCCATTGAATATTCAAAATATGAATCTATGATTATGTGCTCTGCATCTGCCAAAGTATTCAATCGTAAGGATTAAAGCATTGAGATTAACATCTGATAGGTAATTAAAGTTTTGTAAATATTTCAGAAGATATAAAGAATTGTTTTAATTGTGGCGTAAGAACAGAAGGAGGATCCGACCGAGAGAGTCAAAACAATGAAGAATTAAAAGGATCGGCAACGGAAGTCACTCCTGGGCCCATTACGACGCCTGTTGAAAACGAGAACCCACAGGAAGTCGCTCCCGGGCCCATTGCAACGACTGTTGAAAACGAGGAACCACAACTTCATGAAATTGTTGCCGAGGTTGTTGCCATTTCTCCTCTTCCAGAAGAAATTGAAGAAGTTGTCCGTAATTCTGGGACAACAAAGAAAAATAACAATCCTACACCATCTGTTATATCTGATGAAAATATGAAAGGACCCTCCTCTGAAAGAAAACAATCCAATGATTATTCTTCTAATTATCGCACATCCAAGATAGAGGGACTTGAAAGTAAAGTTGCGGAATTCGAGGATCTATTCGTTGGTGTGACAATCATGAAGGACCAATTGATGTTGGCTATCGAACAACTACTACTTTTGACATTTCTAACCCTTAGCAAAAAACCAGATGAACATAGAATACATCAACTTTTAGACATAACGAAGGCACTTCGCGTCGCACGCACCGAGAATATCAACATCAAAAGTTCTCATCGTTTTGACATACCCGAAATACATTCGTTAGAATGGCATTTGTCCGATTTAGAACTGGGGGAAGGTGTAACAGAGCAGGATATTTTGGAGGCACAGTCATCGTGCACAAGAGCCACTGAACCAAACACTGGAGAGAAACAATTCAGTCAACACGATCTAGACGGATGTCTTGTTACTCGCCCGGAAAAATGCTTGACCAGTTATTGGAACTAAAGGGCGATTTCTGCACACTCACTAATAAAGTAAACGAGATCACGGCAAGGCTGGTCAAGCAGGAACGCCAACAAGCCATGATACTTATTGAAGAGCTCCAGGAGCAAATGCGCGATGTCAGATTCAATGTAAACAATTTAACGGAACGACTCGAACGATCAGACATCCGTTTGACGAACAACACTCTAAACCTGGAGAACGTCAAGAGGAGTATTGACTCACTCGTCAGCGAAAAAGTGAGCAAGGCCGAGGTAGATATAATGTTTGCCGATAAGGTTGACTACGACCAACTGCAGAGAAAAGTATCACTTGATCAACTGCTTGAAGTGCAGTGCCGCATAGATAAACGTTTCTGCGAAGCTTTCAAACAGATCAAGGACGCGGACAAAAGACTCGAAGAGACTGCTGAAACTTTGCGCCAAACTCTGGGATTTGCATCCATTGACCGTATACTGCAAGAATTCAAGCAGAAAGTCGAATTAGAAATTCAATCAATACGCGTCTTGTTGCAAAAGTATGTGGATGCAACGAACGACGATTGTGCTGCAGCGGGAGCTCGTATCAAAGTCCTACAGGACCTGGCTTGTTTGTCGTGCGATACCACTTGTGTTATGCGCACCATGGAGAAAACTAATGTGGCCAAACTACCCAGTGCACATGTCTCTCAAAGTTTAAGTCCTCTTATCACATACGAGTTGGGCGCCATTCGCAAAAACGGAGGTCTTCCGCAGACACGACATGCCGGCGGTGTTCATACAACCAGTACAGCACGGGAACGGGTCGACAAGGTTTTGCTCAGTGGAAAATAACACCAACTATGGTTTAACATTTAAATTATGTCCATTTCATTTTATTTGTTTATCGGTATTTACTGTTGAAAAATAAATAATTCGACACGGCATTTGAAAATGGAATTAACATTGTTGCGTATGTTGAGTTAAGATGTTTGTGTTAGTTTGTATAAATGATTACATTTTTCATCGTTATAAAATGTTGGCTTGCAGGATATATATAAGTAAGCAAAAATTAAGTGCTACACACTGGTAAGAGCCTTCTCACGTTTTTAGTATGTGTATGTGTGTATGTTCCTTATTGACTCGCAAACGACTGAACGAATTTCGTGGAATTTTCACAGAACATTAAGGAATTTATTGTAGCTATTATTTTATAAAAATTAGAAGAGGCGAGGTATCTCCCACTCGACTTCTTTTTTTTTAAACAAGAATTTGTTCACGATATTGGACGTATAAACCCCAAAATAACGGTAACTCCCTATATACGGTAATTTTAAGATTTTAACAGAATTTATAATGAATTCAATTTTTTATTAATTTACTAGCTGGCCGGTCCGCGTTGCCGGCCCGTACTTTTAGTCTTTAACGTATATTTTTTAAAGCATAATAAATCACAGGGCTGAGTTATGTAAGTGGCACAATTTTTATTATAAGTAATGATTCCATAGTTATTTCTAAAAAGAAATAAATATTCATGGCAAAAATTATAATAGATGTTCATCCACCGTTGGTTTTAGGTATTTTGAATAGCCTGATCTTATTTTTCAGCTATAGGCTTTACTTTGAGTTTCAACAACCTGATTTCAGAATAGTCAAAGATAATTACTCTTTCCGTAAGAATAGAATTAATGTTTTTATATTTTTGTTTGTTCATATGTGTTCGCGTTTTCCAGCTGAAGCACAATGTAGGTCATGGAATTGAAAGCTAAATGTCAATTTAAGCATGAAAGCATTTAATATCGTATTGCGTACCATCCAAAATTGTATGAACTCTTAAAATCCGTTAAGCCGTTCTTGAGTTATAAGCGTAGTAACTGACATACTTTCTTTTATATGGCGAAAATAATTCTTTATTTTGTTCACAAAAAAACGATTGTATTCAATATGACCAGCTAAATTAAAAAAAAATCTTACATTATATAAAATTGACTAAAAAAGAGAAGCAAATTGAAAAAAAAAAAATCTTCAACTTATTCGCTGATTTTTTACAGCAAATGTTTAGAGGTCCTTACGAAGTTTGTCAATAGAATGTACTATTATTTTAAAATTCGATCCCATTAACATTTTTTTTACTTTTTCCCGATTTTAGAATTTTTGCAATGAGATCGTGATTTTTTAGTGATTTTAAAAAAAGTAATTAAAATATAGCATTTTTTGTTCATAGCTTATTATCTTCTGAAATGATATTATTCGTATAATTCCACTTACCCAAAAAATACATAAAATCTACAAATAACATTCTTGTCCGTTGTCGCTTTATACTCCCCAAAAAGACTACATATCATATTAGTATTAAAAAGTAAAAAAGCAGTAAGTTCGGCCGAACTTCGAATATCCTCCACCATTTGGAACGAATTAGAAAATATTAAAAAAAAATAAATAAAATCCATTGAAAATTCTGTTATAATCTTTAAAATACCTAATATCGGAAGGTGCCGATATATGGGGGGATATACGCTATTGTGGACCTATAGACAAATCTAGGTTTGGGGGTAAAGTACTCACAAGGAACTCCTTGTGTGGATTTTCAGATAATTCCATTGGGAAATGTGGCTAAAATCATCAAAATCCCGGATATCGGGGTACCTTTATATGGGGGATATACGATATTGTGGACCTATATAGACAAATACCTTTCAGGGGTTAAAGTGCTCACAAAGAAATCCTTGTGTGGATTTTCAGAAAATACCATTGGAATATATAGCTAAAATCATCAAAATACCGAAAAACGGGGGTACCGTTATATGGGGGCTATACGATATCGTTAACCTATATAGAGAACTCTATGTCAGGGGGTAAAGTGCTCACAAAGAACCCCTTGTGTGGAATTTCAGACAATTTCGTTGAAATATGTGGCTGAAATCATCAAAATACCGAATATCGGAGGGTACCGTTATATGGGGGCTATACGATATCTTGGACCTATATAGATAATTCTCTTCCAAAGTATAAAGTACCCACAAGGTATTCCTTGTGTGGATTTTCAGACAATTCCGTTTAAAATGTGGCAAAAATCATCAAAATACCGAATATCAGGGGGGTACCGTTAAATGGGGCCTATACGATATTGTGGACCTATATAGACAATTCTCTTTCAAGGGATAAAGTACCCACAAGGAACTCCTTGTGTGGATTTTCAGACAATTCCGTTGAAAAGTATGGGTAAAATCATCAAAATACCGAATATCGGGGGGTACTGTTATATAGGGGCTATACGATATTGTCGACCTATATAGATAACTCTCTTCCAAGAAATAAAGTACTCACAATGAACTCCTCGTGTGGAATTTCAGATAATTCCGTTGAAAAATGTGGCTAAAATCATCAAAATACCGAATATCGGAGGGTACCGTTATATGGGGGCTATACGATATCTTGGACCTATATAGATAATTCTCTTCGGAGGTATAAAGTACCCACAAGGTATTCCTTGTGTGGATTTACAGACACGTAAAAAAGACAATATAGATTTTTATACCCTCCACCAAAAAAAGTATGGAGGGTATATTAGGCCTCATGTAACGGTACCCCCCGATATTGGGTATTTTGATGATTTTACCCACATTTTTCAACGGAATTGTCTGAAAATCCACACAAGGAGTTCCTCATGGGTACTTTATACCTCGGCAGAGAATTATCTATATACGTCCACAATATCGTATAGCCCCCATATAACGGTACCCCCCGATATTCGGTATTTTGATGATTTTACCCACATTTTCAACGGAATTGTCAGAAAATCCACACAAGGAGTTCCATGTGGGTACTTTATACCTCGGCAGAGAATTATCTATATAGGTCCACAATATCTTATAGCCCCTATATAACAGTACCCTCCGATATTCGGTATTTTGCTGATTTTACACACATTTTTCAACGGAATTGTCTGAAAATCCACACAAGGAGTTCCTTGTGGGTACTTTATACCTCGGCAGAGAATTATTTATGTAGGTCCACAATATCGTATAGCCCCCATATAACGGTACCCCCTGATATTCGGTATTTTGAAGATTTTACCCACATTTTTGAACGGAATTGTCTGAAAATCCACAAAAGTTCCTTGTGGGTACTTTATACCTCGGCAGAGAATTATCTATATAGGTCCACAATATCGTATAGCCCCCATATAACGGTACCCCCCGATATTCGATATTTTGATGATTTCAGCCACATATTTCAACGGAATTGTCTGAAAATCCACACAAGGAGTTCCTTGTGGGTACTTTATACCTCGGTAGAGAATTATCTATATAGGTCCACAATATCGTATAGCCCCCATATAACGGTACCCCCCGATATTCGATATTTTGATGATTTCAGCCACATATTTCAACGGAATTGTCCGAAAATCCACACAAGGAGTTCCTTGTGGGTACTTTATACCTCGGCAGAGAATTATCTATATAGGTCCACAATATCGTATAGCCCCCATATAACGGTACCCTCCGATATTCGGTATTTTGCTGATTTTACACACATTTTTCAACGGAATTGTCTGAAAATCCACACAAGGAGTTCCTTGTGGGTACTTTATACCTCGGCAGAGAATTATTTATATAGGTCCACAATATCGTATAGCCCCCATATAACGGTACCCCCTGATATTCGGTATTTTGAAGATTTTACCCACATTTTTGAACGGAATTGTCTGAAAATCCACTAAAGTTCCTTGTGGGTACTTTATACCTCGGCAGAGAATTATCTATATAGGTCCACAATATCGTATAGCCCTCATATAACGGTACCCCCCGATATTTGGTTTTTGATGATTTTACCCACATTTTTCAACGGAATTGTCTGAAAATCCACAAAAGGAGTCCCTTGTGGGCATTTTACCTCCTCAAAATGAAGTGTCTATATAGGTCCACGATATCGTATATCCCCCATATAACTGTAACCTCCGATATTCGGTATTTTGATGATGTTAGCCACACTTTTCAATGGAATTGTCTTAAAATCAACACAAGTAGTTCCTTGTGAGTACTTCACCCCCTGAGAGAGAATTGTCTATACAGGCCCACGATATCGTATATCCCCTATATAACGGTACCTCCCGATATTCGGTATTTTATGATTTGACCCACATTTTTCATTGGAATTGTCTGAAAATCCACACAAGGAGTTCCTTGTGGGTACTTTATACCCCGGCAGAGAATTATTTATATAGATCCACGATATTTTCAAAGGAATGGTCACAAGGGGTTCTTTGTACACAAGGGGTTCTTTGTGAGCACTTTACCCACCGACAGAGAATTCTCTATATAGGTTAACGATAACGTATAGCTCCCATATAACGGTACCCCGCGATATTCGGTATTTTGATGATTTTAGCCACATTTTCCAATCGTATTGTCTGAAAATCCACGCACGGAGTTCCTTGTGAGTACTTTACACGCAGATATAGATTTGTCTTTATAGGTCCACAATATCGTATATCCCCCCATATATCGGCACCTTCCTATATTAGATATTTTAAAGATTTTAAAAGAACTTTTATTGGATTTTATTTTTTTGAAAATTTTCTAATTCGTTCCAAATGGTGGAGGGTATTCAAAGTTCGGCCCGGCCGAACTTACTGCTTTTTTACTTGTTATTTATTATTATTATTATTATTATTTTTTTTTTTTTTTTGAAAATTTCCAAATTCTTTCCAAATGGAGGGTACTCAAAGTTCGGCTCAATCGAACTTACTGCTTTTTTACTTGTTTCTATTTGAAAATCTTTTTAAATTAATTTCAGTATGGTCTCAGCATTGTTTAGCATACTCCATGGTAGAAGAATACATTTTGAAATTAAAATTTTGAATGAAAATTTATTCAAATTCGTCAAATTTTGAAAAATGCAAATTGTGTCAACTTCCACTTAAATGAAAACCGTTATATGGAGACTATACATGGAC